CCGGTACCGTAACCGCCGTTCCGGGAACCGGAACTGGTACCGGCCAGCACGGTATCATTTCCGGTTACTCGGGGTGGCGGTACCGGAACCGGCGGTTCCGGAACCGGAACCGGAACCGGAACCGTCCCGGAACCGTACCGTGTCCACCCCTATTTATAAACCAAGTCTGAAATAACTCACCATGAATTTACAGTGGCAACAAGTAATGATCCAAACTCTTCCGGATCATCCGACAACCAGTTTCGGCATAAATATTGAAAAATGCTCTCAAAACGGATGCATTCTGGAATGGCTATGATTAAAATGGCTAATGATTTTTTGGTTTTGAGTATATGTTCGGGACTTGTGGGATTCCCCGATGAGGCAACTAAAACAATATTCTTAACCGAATCTGACACGGCTACAAAATTCATTTTAAAATGCAGAAACTCCGGAATATCAGCACCTAAAGAGCTATAGCTTCCGAATATGTTTAGTAGAGTAGAGTTCGGAATAATTCTAATACCTTCATCGAATGACTTTTTATCACTAAACTCAAAATAGTGGGTGTTGTCGTGAGAAAAACCAATAATATACAAGTTATCTGACCTACATATCAAGTATAAAACATCATCATCAACGTGGCATCGCAAAGTAAAGATTTGTGGAGTGGAGCCACGCGGGAGGGAATCCATCACAGGGATCAGGCGGTCATTAAGTTTTATATACGTAGAACATCCAGAAGAAATTGAAGTAACTGCATCCATTAGACAACTAACATTCTCGGTAAAGAAAATGTCAAATGGAGCTTTTTGGACAAATAGAGACATTCCCAACCTAGCAATAAATAAATAAAATCAGACAATTAAAATCAGACAGCAAGTAACTATAACTAAAAACAGTAATGAAAATAGAGAACTACGAGCAACAACACCACAGATTAAAATCAGACAGCAATATAAAACTCAAACATTGTTCTGTAATTCAGAAAAGATGCTTTGGTTTGGTTTGTGAATTCATGAACCAAAAGTTGTGATCATTAGCCAATTAAATAGGTGAATATCGAGCAACTCAAGCTAGTGGATTGATCCACTTGCTTTTCATATCGATTAGTTAAGTCTAGAACCAGCCCTAAACCTAGCCCTTTCTCTTCTAGCAACCTCTAAACCAGCTCATATGTTTAACTAGAAAAGAAGCATTCAAGCAAAACAAGCACTCGAGATCTCACTACAACTCTGCCAGCAAAATTGTGTAATGAAACAAGATTAAAAAGACAAAGGATAGAAATCACTAACTGCATGATCTGAACCCTCTGTTTCGCACTTTGTTCTGCCTCTCTTAGCAATTGATTTGCTCTCAAGAGGTCAGAATACAATTAATGGTTCTCTTTACTTAATTCATTCAGTTTAAACAAACAAAGTAGCATGAACCATCATTCAAAGCATGCTCATCTAATCTACTACTCAGAAATCCACCAAATAAGCACACAACATGCTTCATCACTTTGATTTAGGCCCACAACTCACAAACCGAACCAAAGACAGTCCACAACTCACTCATTTCAGTTATGTCAATAAAGCATCAAGGTTTTAAGCATGCTATCTTAATTCTCAACACCAAACAAGTTGCTAGTCTCATATAAAACAGTCCAGATTCAAATTTTCACACAAAAATGATACAATAGCAACTCCTATCCAAACCACGCAACCCAAACAGATTGATATTCCAAAATTGAGAATCACAAGTATGCAGTTATACCTTCAAAACTTCAGAATCCAAACTATTGAGGTCTAGACCTACGAATTAGAGCTGATGCATATAAAAACCGTAGCTACCGAGGTTCGGAGTAGAGCCCCTTGGATGTGTGATGTACGTCGGTCGCTGGCTCTCGTCCTCCTCTCCCCAACGGTGTGGTCAGTGTAGCTTCACTCGCCGGGAGTAGGCGGCGATGATAGGTTTTCCGACTCTCTAAACGAATTCTCTCTGCATCTCGTGTAAGATGTACGAACCGAACGAATGCGTATCTCTGTGGGGCATTTTTCTTACTTTTATTAAATTAACCCATTTGAGACTTTAGGTCCAAGATTACCCATTTGGGCATCCAATAGTCCAATTTCACCCAATAAGACACCTTTGTGTAAACTAGACTCGTACCTGTGTGATGCACGGGCTATTAATTGACATATAATTACTCAATGTTTTGAATAAGAAAAAAATGTTTAAAAACCTGAAATATTATATAAATTGAAAAAATAAAAAAAGAAGGGGAGTTTTGAAAGTGATATAAGTTTTTGAACACTTCTTTATAAATTACATTCGTAGCTTGGTTACATGGAGGAAGGTCTTTACTGCTAATCAAAATCTTTAACACTTTCTGTGCATTGCATGGTAAAAATATTTGACTATTATTTTAAACAAACAATGAATAAATTTTACTTCGTATGATATAAATAAATTGAGTTTGTGCAAAATAATCTACACTATTACACAACATACAAATCACTTAAAAGGGATGCAATTTGTGTATATGCTTTCTAAGTATTGTCAAACATGTACCTAAATAAACTAATGAAAAAAATAATACTCCCTCTGTCCGGAAATGTTTTCTCATTTAACTTTTCAGTCTCCAATATTGTACTTTGACCATTAATATCTATATTTAAACATAGATATATTTTATAAAAATTTGATATTTGAAAACTACGTTTCATTATGAATATATTGATTTTAAATTTACATTAGATTACAATGTGTTTTTTCTACAAATCATAGTCAAAGTTTACAAACTTTGACCAAGAAAAGTCAAATGTGAAGAACATTTTCGGACGGAGGGAGTAGAAGAATTGCTGAGACACGTTGTGCTTGTTGACCTAAGAGCTTAGATTGCTCAATAATGACTCTTTTTGCACCATTGGCAAAGAACGGATGAAGATTTGTTGTAGCTCTACTAATTCAGATGATATCATCCTCTTTTGAAGAATAACACTTTCTTAATTGTAGTCGCTGGCCAATGTGGTCGGTGCCTTTCTGGCGTGCAACGCTGTCCGTATTGTCCTTCCCCGTCCGTCCGCTACCGATTCATCCGCACGAACGAATCTGTATTCGGATTCATTTTTTAGTGTGGTCTCATGCAGTATTTTTTTAAAATACATTTTGTATATATTTTAACCAACTAAATATGCTTTAGAAGTGGTAGTAAATAAGGCGTTTAAAGATTTTTCAAGGTTTAATAAAATCGGTGTTGGTAGACGTGGAAGCAATGGATTTGTTTGAAAATAGCGTTAGAGATTAGCGTTAGCGTTTTGGATAAAATTTTAACGGTGCAGATTATTTTGAAAACGCAAACGCTAAACACTGGCCGTATATAGCTTTTTCAAAATGCTAACGCTAATCTCTAACGCTATTCCCAAACAGACCCAATGTAAAAATGCATAGATAAACATGTAAAAATAAGAAACGCATCAATTTTATACTGGTTCGTTAATATCCCTACGCCAGTACCTTATTGCTCCTTTTAAAGATTTTTGAATCCACTAAATAAGTCTCGATCTCGAACTTCGTCAAAGCATTGTACTAGTTTTGACAAACAATTCTTGCCAATAAGATTCACTCTAAGATTTCACAATGGTTATCTTGAATTGTTTACGACGAATATCTGGAAGGTATCATTAGCCGTCTACGCATGGATTTATACGACCATCATCTACCGTTATAGCTGAAGGTTTGCGAATGAAGAACACAGAAAATGAGTTCAACACCTAGGCCTGTGATAAAGTGAAATGATCAATTCATTCTTGGCCGGTGAAAACGAAAATTATACTCTCTAAAATAAAACAAATTCAACCTAATGAATATGAGAGTATATACGTATATCACAAGCTCAAATTTATTTTGTCAATATTTTTAAGCTATCCCTATTATTATATTTGTCAAAATAAAATACTCCATAAATGTACCCACTAAAGTTTGCCACTAAACATGAGCCTTTATATTTATTTATTTATTTACTTTTTTATTTTATATATTTTTTTTGTTTTGTTGGCAGACTATATGATAATTGTAAATAAAGGAACAAAAATTGGTTTATTTAAATTATGCACTTTGGAGCAATAACTAAATAGAGAAATACTCCCTTCATCCCAAAAAAAATACACGTTTCAAAAAAATTGCGTCTCACAATCTCATTCTCATTTCTATTAAAAAATCATTTTTATCCCTTACTTTTCCAAACCCTAGCTATCACATTATACCTTTTTCCTAATAATCTACACATCACATCCTACTTAGCTTTTACCAATCACATCAAGGGTATTTTGGAAAGTTAACACAAAATTATCTCTCTCTTAATTTCAACTTTAGTCAAAACGTGTAAGGGGTTATTTGGCAACTTTTGAATAGATAAATGCTGAACCAGTATGAGGTCTGAACAATTAAGTGCTGAACCAGTAAGAGGTCTGAATCATTAAAAGTTACTCCGTACTACGTAGTATATTGCTTAGCTATTCAGAGGCAAATATCTGAAGCATTCAGACATCTGAACCATTAAGAGGCTGAAACAAAAAGTCTTAACCATTAAGTATTGAACCATTCATACATCTGAATCATTAAGAGGCTGAAACAAACAGCCCTTAAATCTTTTTGGGATGGAGATTATATTAAAATAAAAATTTAAGAAGAAAACAATGTATAAATCTAGTGAAATATAAAAAAAATATTTATTTTGGTTTTATGTGTAAACTACGAGTAATGAATAATTAAAGAAAGAGAATTTTTTTGGACATTTGTAAATTATGCCTATATTCCTATATAAGCGAAGCAAATGTTTTAAATAAATATATATAATGGTTTTTTAATTATAAATTATTTGTAAGAAGATATAAGTATGTAAATTTACTTGCCTACGCGATGACATAATTTATTATTTCCTTCAACAACAAGATGTGTTGGATAGAACAAGGACAATGTTTTGGTTAATGAGTTTGAAGTGATCTGTGTTTGATAACATAAAAAATGCTTATTTGGAATGACTACACTAGATTTAACCAAAGTTAGGGGACGAAATAATGCTTTTAAGGTTATGTAACGACATACACTGAACATGTATTGTCACATTTTATTAAGTGGGTTAAACCACTTAATAAAGTCGGATCGTTCGTATCCAAATGGATGACATTGCAAATAATCTACCACAACATGTGCACGAGAATTCGATGATGACCCTGTGAATCTAGAGTTTACTTTTATTTACTTGATCTCAGGTCACCGAGAGGAATCCGAAGTAAAACTATGAATCACCTAGTACGGGATCTAGCCTAGTTATGATTTTGTCTCTAAACTAAGTTAACCAAGGAATGTCTAGTTTTTTTCTAAACATCCCCAAGCAACTCTTTCAAAAAAAATGAGGTTGTTTACTCAATGATTCCTAATAAGTATTTTAAGAGCTACTCCCTCCGTCCCACT